AGGTGTCTGTACATGTGTCTCTGCATCAGAAGGAGCGAGACACAAACAGTAGGTCAGTCTGCAACGTACCAAAGCACAAATGTGGATTTAACGATGATTTGTACAAGAAATTCCACGCTTTCCGTTCCATTCGGGACAAGTGTGAGTCCATGTACACAGTGTATAAAGCAGCACATATGTTTCGGTGTCCAGTGGAAAAAAGTTTTACCAAGTGAGAGTCGCTCAATGTGGATGACGAGTCCCCACCTCCCTCCCCCCGTACGGTGTCCTGGTTTTGACAAATGCAAATCTGGTCACACTAACCTGTATTCACCTGAGTCATGTCTTTTAATCCAACAGAAACTGACCGCATCAGCGACACAAGAGCTGGAGTTTTATCTTCGCTGAGTTTATGCAAATTAGCGATGTGTGGTTTTAAGTTTAGTTTCTGTGAGAGTTTGCGCAAAACTGAATTAAACACATTATAATGTCAAACGGGCTGATGTGGCTCTAGAGTGGTTACGGTTTATATGTCATAAAGTTGAATTTATTTATGCAGATTAGTAGTGCAGATAGTAATAATAATGATGATCATTTTAATATAAAAACGTTAATGATTAATCGATAATCGATCGATCGTTAATTCTTCCGACGATCGATTAAGAAAATTTCATCGAATGCCCATCCCTAGTTTGATAGCATTTCTACTGTGTATGACTCCACTGTGTTAAAATATTTGTGAAATAGCAGTGCCTCTCCTGCTGGTGACCCATGCCCCTCCAGTAGATGTGCTCCAGTAGATGTGTTCTAACGCCGACTCTGAGAACAACGACGACACATTAGTGACACACTGAACAAAAATAACATTATGGTCATGAATAAAACACTAGTTATAACTCATTCATTAACTAGTAACTTCACTCTTTTTGTCAATTTTTAATACAAATAATATAAAATAGAAAATATGTTTGTGTGCATTGTCTGTAGGTCTACAAGCCACAGTCTGTAGTAGCTCTGCCCTCGCCAGCACTTCATTTGAGATTCATCAAAATGAGCAGTAAACATTTCAGCACCTTGGAGACGCTGTGTGAGAACAGGATTATGAGCCCATTACCCGACTGAACATGGAGGATAGAGTCACTCTCACTGACTCTCAGAGCCTCACTCTCACTAAAGAGCCGCTTTTATTCACTCTGCACATCAGACTAAACCTTTGTCTTGTAGAGGAATATGTGGTGTGGAGAGGGAATTGACACGAATGAAACAAGGAACATAAAGAACGACTAAATTAATCCCACTCCCCTGTGTCATAATGTTGCAGCATTCATTCAGTACGAGCAACATGAAGACAAATGTTTCAAAACTTGACACACAAAAAATAACAGGCAGCAAAGAGAAGAGTCTAGAACAGCACGGACACTCTTATCTCACCAAAGAGTGAACGTTAAAATATTTGTATTCATATTTGCTGAATATAAATGAAAATAGCGGGAAAATGTGAGTTGACTTAATTTTATTTGAAAGTATCCTTTTTCAGTGCACATACTGTCCAGATGATGGCGCCAGAGAGCCTGTGTTCTCTGTCACGTCCTCTGTCAGTGAATAAAGACTGTGCGCTCGGAGAGTCCAGTCATCTTTTGGTTCAACTGACTCAGAGGTGAACATGTCTGGCAGAGGAAAGGGAGGTAAAGGTCTGGGGAAAGGAGGCGCCAAGCGTCACCGTAAAGTTCTCCGTGATAACATCCAGGGCATCACCAAGCCCGCTATCCGCCGTCTGGCTCGTCGCGGCGGTGTCAAGCGTATCTCCGGTCTGATCTACGAGGAGACTCGCGGTGTGCTCAAGGTTTTCCTGGAGAACGTGATCCGTGACGCCGTCACGTACACCGAGCACGCCAAGAGGAAGACCGTGACCGCCATGGACGTGGTGTACGCCCTGAAGAGACAGGGCCGCACTCTGTACGGCTTCGGAGGTTAAACTCTACTTCTCCTGATGACACACAACGGCCCTTTTCAGGGCCACACACATTTTCAAGAGCTCCTCCTCTTAGAAAGCAAACTAATTAATATAGCTTACAAAAATAAATACATTTGCGTACATCTTCATGAATGTCATGATGCCGTATTCAAAGTCAGTTGTACTTATTTAGAATATTCGATATTCCCATTTGTTTTTCTCTTACACTTTCCTGAGCACAGTATATTAAGTGTAAAATTCAAGGTATGTGAGAAGTGCTCAGCGCGCTCACAGCTCTGCAGTGTGGTTATATTGTGCCATTAACTACATTGTAACCAAACTACGCATGAATGAATCATCCTGCGGAAAACACATGTCAACTTCAATTACAAGTATGGTTTACCTTGCAAAACAAATGCGCCTCAGACAGTGTAAACAATGTGAAATCTAAAGAATGATTTTTTGCAGAAAACTCGCGCTTCATTGCGCGTAAATCAACTGTCCTGCTCCTTTTGAGACGTGATCTTGACACACGCTTTATTGGGAAGCGCTCACGTGCTTCACGTTTATAGAAAGGTTAAAAACGTCATCTCTAGGCTATTCAAAATGGGCTGGGGGCTCTTTTGTCCGTTTCCCTCCTAAAATCACTGAAGACCGTACAGCCCCTCCCATAAACCCCCTGCACACCCCGCGCGCGTTCGGGCTTCACCAATCAGAGCGCAGCGAGGTCCAGATAAAAGCAGCGGCCGCGCTCCCGTCTTCTCAGTGTCCTGATCCCGATCAGAAACATGCCTGAACCCGCCAAGTCCGCGCCCAAGAAGGGCTCCAAGAAAGCCGTGACCAAGACCGCCGGGAAAGGCGGCAAGAAGAAGAGAAAGACCAGGAAGGAGAGCTACGCCATCTACGTGTACAAGGTGCTCAAGCAGGTCCACCCCGACACCGGCATCTCCTCCAAGGCCATGAGCATCATGAACTCTTTCGTCAACGACATCTTTGAGCGCATCGGCGGGGAGGCCTCCCGCCTGGCGCACTACAACAAGCGCTCCACCATCACCTCCAGGGAGATCCAGACCGCCGTGCGTCTCCTGCTGCCCCGGAGAGCTGGCCAAGCACGCCGTGTCCGAGGGCACCAAGGCCGTCACCAAGTACACCAGCTCCAAGTAAACTGCTCCAACACAATATACACACACAACGGCTCTTTTAAGAGCCACACATTCTACTAAAGAGCTCCTCTGTTCTGTCTGTGTTCATGTCTTTAACTCTCCCTGAAGTCCTGTGTGCTTCTGGACATGTATATAACTCATTGAGCGCTCTACTACAGAGCTCTTTAAAGTCAAATGTAGAGTTTCAGCATAATTGCTCTAAAATACAGAGCGTCCTGCACACTACCTTTAAGAAAATGGCATTGTTATTTGAAACACATTTAGACCCTAAACATATATATTATATACGAACAATTGCTGATGAAGTTATTTCTAAAATAACTGTTTTTACCTAAGACGATTTTTGAAAAATCCGTCTTAACACAAAAGTTTGTTTTTTTCCATTGATTCATTTCATTCATTTGAGTAACTGTCTACATCTCCAAAAGCTAAAAATGCTGTTCCACCTAGTGGAAGTTTTCAAATTAACAGCTGCCTACACCATAAGTCATCACAATGGCGCTTATAAATATACAATTTCAAACACTTATAATAGGAATCTTATTTTCTGTTATTTAGTGTTCTAAACTCAAGTCAAGGCAGGAAAACTGACAGTCCCACATCGATGCCTCGTGTTCAAGAGCCTCTGCGTCAGGGGAAGTCGCTCACCGGAGTGCTGAAATGGCTGCCACGGTTTACTGAGGTTACGCCTTATGAAAAAGTGAAGTCTACTTTTTCTTCAGAAAGTATAACGTAACAGTATCCTCACCAGCCCTACAGTGTGTGTGACTAAACCCTAGGATTTTGTTGGTTGTGCTACGCTCTGTCACAACATGTACAAAAAAGCGGCTCTTTCTCACGTGTGGTGGCTCTTAAAAGAGCCGTTGTGTGTTGTGGGGTCAAAGCAGACGCTTTAAGCCCTCTCTCCGCGGATACGCCGGGCCAGCTGGATGTCTTTGGGCATGATGGTGACCCTCTTGGCGTGGATGGCGCACAGGTTGGTATCCTCGAACAGTCCCACCAGGTAGGCCTCACTGGCCTCCTGCAGAGCCATGACGGCGGAGCTCTGGAAGCGCAGGTCGGTCTTGAAGTCCTGGGCGATCTCCCTGACCAGGCGCTGGAAGGGCAGCTTGCGGATGAGCAGCTCGGTGGATTTCTGGTAACGGCGGATCTCCCTCAGAGCCACGGTCCCGGGCCTGTAACGGTGAGGCTTCTTGACGCCTCCGGTGGCCGGGGCGCTCTTACGCGCGGCCTTTGTGGCCAGCTGCTTCCTGGGGGCTTTGCCTCCGGTGGATTTACGCGCGGTCTGCTTGGTTCTGGCCATGTTTTTAGTGTCCTTTTCTACGAACAGAGAAAAGGAAGTGCAGAAAAGCGGCACACGAGCCGTTTTTAAACGGTCAGCCTCACGCGCACACTGCCTCGGGCTCTGTGATTGGTCTGCGTCATACTCTGACGCAGAGCGCCGCCCACAGAGACGCATCAGAAACGCTTTCTATTGGAGCTAGTGGTTTTGAAGTGAGTAAGAGAAGCTGAGCAGGACGGATGTGGAGGGGGCGAGGCTTTCGCTCCACGGCAGGAAATGAAGCAGTAGGACACACGCACACGGTCCTCACGTTCCTCTGAACTGTGGCTCCCTCCTGTGTGAACGGTGTGGACTTTGAGCTGCAGCCTTAGATTGGGTCTAAAATATGCGCGGAGTCGCTGCTGTTGGATCGGACCACACTGCACGCGGATTTTGGCCAGCGTCAGAACAGCAACTTTTGTACGTGTAATTTTTTAGAAATGCATTCAAAGTGAATGAGGTAGAGTTCATAAACAGAGCCAGTGCCCTCTCCCACCACGAGAAAACACTCATGTTACTTTGATGTAAGACAAGTGTACATGGTTTTGAATCCGTTCCCATATGGTTATTTGCCATGGTCTGAAACAATTATAAAGTGTGCTCTTTTCTGAGAGTTTGTGGCTCTTAAAAGAGCCGTTGTTGTGAGTCGAGTCTCGGGGCGTCTTTACTTGGCCTTCTCGGTCTTCTTGGGAAGCAGCACAGCCTGGATGTTGGGCAGCACGCCTCCCTGAGCGATGGTCACTCCTCCCAGCAGTTTGTTGAGCTCCTCGTCGTTGCGGACGGCCAGCTGCAGGTGGCGGGGGATGATGCGGGTTTTCTTGTTGTCACGAGCCGCGTTTCCCGCCAGCTCCAGGATCTCAGCGGTCAGATACTCGAGCACGGCCGCCAGGTACACGGGAGCTCCGGCGCCGACGCGCTCCGCGTAGTTGCCTTTACGGAGCAGCCTGTGCACACGGCCCACTGGGAACTGCAGCCCGGCCCTGGAGGAGCGGGACTTGGCCTTGGCGCGGGCCTTTCCTCCGGTTTTGCCTCTTCCGCTCATGATTACACTTTGACTCAGTGAAGTGGTGAGAGAATGAACCTACACAGACAGAGCGCAGCGTATTTATGTGCGGGAGCGCGTGCGTTTCAGCGCCGCACCAATGAGCGGCCGCGTTCAGACAAGAGGAGGAGCTCTGACTTGAACAGGAGCCTCATGTGGGACTAACACTATGTGAAGTGAAACTGCAAACATCCACCGACTAAAGGGACAATTACCAATCATCATCATCATTATTATTATATTATATTAATTATATGAATAATTATTATACAGACTCAATGAAAAGAGCTTTTTATAACAGAGACAACTGCATTAATAAATCCATGTCTTGTTACTGGATTTTCATCAGTATTACACTGACTTTTCAAATCGAGGACTAAATAATAAAACATTAAAATAATCATTCACTGCAGCAGCAAAGTGAAATGAGATCATGAAACTAAACAAAAGTGCTTGTGATTTCACTTTGTGATCAGTTCCAGATGAAATACGCTTTTGACCACATCACACTCCATAGGCCCACACACAAGAGTCTACATGAGGTCCTACATCAGGTCCTACATGAAGTTTACAGACTTCAGGCCCTCTGTGCTCCTGCTTTTTTTAATTATTATTATTATATTAAATGGTAGAATACCCTGTTTTAATCTTTAACCCTTCTTGGGTTGTAAACTACCCTGGGACAGGAGCCTACAGGTTGTTTTTTTCCATAGTTAAACCTGCTGAAAAAGGCTGTGATGCCATATTTGCTGTAGAAATAGTGTGATCCTGACAACAGGCTACATATTGTCCATTGACACACTGCCATTATTAGTCCAGTTCCTTATTCTCATTTTTTGACCTTAGTGGGAATTTTTTGGGGATTTGCTAACCTATATATTTTTGGAAAGGTTATAGTTTATGGAGTCAGAAAATCAATGTTTGTATTTGCCCACATGTCTTTATGGTGGCCATATTGGATTTTTTAAAAAATGGCCGCCAAAAATCACTTTTTGGAATATCTCAGCCTCTGAATAAGTTGAAATGTTGATTTTAACTGCTAAACCCACATTTTCAGGGTCAGGGAATCAAATGGTGCTAGTTACAAACCTGTAAGACCTACCCACATTAACCCTTAGATGCATAAGTTGGTCAAAAAATGACCCGGTTTGGTTGTTTTCTTGCAATTTCATTGTGACATTTGCATGTAATACTCCATGTTCCTCCAAAAACATGTTTTTTTTAATTATCCTGTTGAAATACTTAAACAATATGGGTAAAACAAACTATAAACATCACATACAGTTGGTCAGATAACTCAAAGAGTTTAAAAGTAGCTAACATTAAATATGTGTGTTGGATGTCAACAAACACATTTAGACACAATATGATTACTCAACCTTTTTATTGGACATTTTCTATACATCATCATTTTCATGCAACCATAGACTGTATATATGTACATAGACTGTATATATGAGTGGACAGATCTAACGCTGTAGCCGCCGTGTGCCAAACAGGAAGTTCTCCAGGAGGCTCTTCCAGCTCCTTCTGACTGACTGACTTTAGGATCTTGTGGCTCCTCTCTGTACCTACTGCTGCGAATCTCGACATTTTAGTCATAAAATGTTTATATGAACCCGCTCTACCATGATTATTTTTGTCTTTCTAGTTTGTCCAAAAAATGACTATGACACGGAGACGAGTCAGACGCTCCACCACAAAAAGTTATCTAACATACATGTCCAGAAGCACACAGGACTTCAGGGAGAGTTAAAGACATGAACACAGACAGAACAGAGGAGCTCTTTAGTAGAATGTGTGGCTCTTAAAAGAGCCGTTGTGTGTGTATATTGTGTTGGAGCAGTTTACTTGGAGCTGGTGTACTTGGTGACGGCCTTGGTGCCCTCGGACACGGCGTGCTTGGCCAGCTCTCCGGGCAGCAGGAGACGCACGGCGGTCTGGATCTCCCTGGAGGTGATGGTGGAGCGCTTGTTGTAGTGCGCCAGGCGGGAGGCCTCTCCGCCGATGCGCTCAAAGATGTCGTTGACGAAAGAGTTCATGATGCTCATGGCCTTGGAGGAGATGCCGGTGTCGGGGTGGACCTGCTTGAGCACCTTGTACACGTAGATGGCGTAGCTCTCCTTCCTGGTCTTTCTCTTCTTCTTGCCGCCTTTCCCGGCGGTCTTGGTCACGGCTTTCTTGGAGCCCTTCTTGGGCGCGGACTTGGCGGGTTCAGGCATGTTTCTGATCGGGATCAGGACACTGAGAAGACGGGAGCGCGGCCGCTGCTTTTATCTGGACCTCGCTGCGCTCTGATTGGTGAAGCCCGAACGCGCGCGGGGTGTGCAGGGGGTTTATGGGAGGGGCTGTACGGTCTTCAGTGATTTTAGGAGGGAAACGGACAAAAGAGCCCCCAGCCCATTTTGAATAGCCTAGAGATGACGTTTTTAACCTTTCTATAAACGTGAAGCACGTGAGCGCTTCCCAATAAAGCGTGTGTCAAGATCACGTCTCAAAAGGAGCAGGACAGTTGATTTACGCGCAATGAAGCGCGAGTTTTCTGCAAAAAATCATTCTTTAGATTTCACATTGTTTACACTGTCTGAGGCGCATTTGTTTTGCAAGGTAAACCATACTTGTAATTGAAGTTGACATGTGTTTTCCGCAGGATGATTCATTCATGCGTAGTTTGGTTACAATGTAGTTAATGGCACAATATAACCACACTGCAGAGCTGTGAGCGCGCTGAGCACTTCTCACATACCTTGAATTTTACACTTAATATACTGTGCTCAGGAAAGTGTAAGAGAAAAACAAATGGGAATATCGAATATTCTAAATAAGTACAACTGACTTTGAATACGGCATCATGACATTCATGAAGATGTACGCAAATGTATATTTATTTTTGTAAGCTATATTAATTAGTTTGCTTTCTAAGAGAGGAGCTCTTGAAAATGTGTGTGGCCCTGAAAAGGGCCGTTGTGTGTCATCAGGAGAAGTAGAGTTTAACCTCCGAAGCCGTACAGAGTGCGGCCCTGTCTCTTCAGGGCGTACACCACGTCCATGGCGGTCACGGTCTTCCTCTTGGCGTGCTCGGTGTACGTGACGGCGTCACGGATCACGTTCTCCAGGAAAACCTTGAGCACACCGCGAGTCTCCTCGTAGATCAGACCGGAGATACGCTTGACACCGCCGCGACGAGCCAGACGGCGGATAGCGGGCTTGGTGATGCCCTGGATGTTATCACGGAGAACTTTACGGTGACGCTTGGCGCCTCCTTTCCCCAGACCTTTACCTCCCTTTCCTCTGCCAGACATGTTTACCTCTGAGTCAGTTGAACCAAAAGATGACTAGACTCTCCGAGCGCACAGTCTTTATTCACTGACAGAGGACGTGACAGAGAACACAGGCTCTCTGGCGCCATCATCTGGACAGTATGTGCACTGAAAAAACCGTTCAAATCAAAGATGAAGTCACACTTAGATTTATCGTTTACATGAGTTCACACGAGGCACCCAAATAAAACTATTGCACTGGTCTTAAATATGAAGAAGTGTAAAGTGAGCAGACTGTGTGCAGAGCTGCATTCAGTGCATCAACCTGAATTTTGAAAAAACGTATTTTTCAAAAGTTTACCATAGGCTTTATTTTAATATAATAATACTGTTTAATAATACTGTTTTACAGAGATCCTGTTTTGTCCCGACACTCAAAATGAATAATGTCTGCACATGTGATGAAAATGAGCATGTTTTACAATAACACTTGAAACAACATGTGCTTCTCCTAATATCATAATGTTTGTGCAAAAGAAATACACGTAGAAACTCAGAACTTTCAGAATTTACTTTCTAACATTTTAAATATGGTCTTATGTCCCGACAGTTTCTCTTGTACTTACTCTTATTTGAGTAGTAGTATTGGTTTTCTTTAGTAATTTTTTGGAGCAGTACTTTGTAGTTCTAAGTGAGTTAAATATTATTCTGAAGTAGTGTTACTCTTACATGAGTAAAATGTTTGGCCACTCTTCTAATGTGTGACCAGAGGTGAGATCTATGGAGAGGTGAGCCCTCTCACAGTCATGTTTGTAAAGGTATTTTTGAGAAATAGACTCACCTGTGATGGACTAAATGCAAGACAGACACTGTTAATGCCATATTGTGGCATTTCAAGTTCTACCATCTCCATGGAGATAAGCAGGCGACAGACCCGCCATATGAAATGTCACATACTGTACCTTCAGTGTTATTAATCAGTGTTATCAAGGAATAGACTCAATACTCTATACTGATTCCAATACCAAGATGCAAAGAAACACTCTTTATATAGACCAGGGGTGTCAAACGTACGGCCTGGGGGCCGGATCTGGCCTTCCAAGACCTTTAACCTGGCCCTCGGCTGATTTTCTACTAAAATATTTTAATTATATTTTCTATTAAAATCTTGGTAATTGTCTGTGGTGTTTATCACAGCAGTGTCTCCAGCGCCTCTGTACGTGGCCCCTCCCACCACAGCAGCACAAATGAAGACTTGTCTCTTTCCAAACGCTCTTAAAGGACGATCGTTTTGACTGTTAACCGTGACACCCTCATCAGAAAAATGTCCAACATGAGAAAAGAATGCAGGATTTTCCAAGAAAAATGGACTAAGAAAGAGTTCATCAATTAACAAAAGATTTCTATAATAGAT